TTTCCGAGGACCCCTAGTCACAATTTTTTTTTTTTCGGTGACTTGGACTTTATAGTTCAGAGTCAATCTCTTGACTTTAAGGAACATTTGCTGTATTGAAGTTCAACTTCAAACGGTAACTGCATACTGCAGACTATACTAATCATCGCGTGGAATTGACCTGTCTGCATACCAGCTGTTGCGAAGGTCATAAGTAGGTATATGTGTTTCGTTACTTGATGCTTACAATAACGAAGGACGATCAGATAAGCGACTGCCGAAGTAGTTCATGATTTATATTAGAATCTCTTCCGGATCACAGGTATTAAGGGTCAACACGCGAAATACCTCCTCAGAAAATAAATTAAGCTAGTCTAGAGTACCTATTATGGTAAACAGTGTAATAGTGTGCTTCCACTAAGGTACTAAGGGCCAACTCGCATAGTACCCGCTCTATAAACAACTAGTAAAGTATGAAGGGTCATCTCGCATAGTTCTCAAAATAAAATGTTATATTCAAATATAATCATAAAAATCTCATAATAATTAACGTAAATAAATTACGATTGATTCATCAAGTAAAATTAGTGAAATAACTCACCTTTAAGGTATATTGAAAAAACCAAAAACTAACACTTTCACAAAACAGGTGAATAATATTACTGAGCTGCTTTTATATTTTTTAGTATCGACGACTTATGAAAGACTACCTGTATAAAAGAGTTCTTGTCATCAGGAACCGTGCCAGTAGTTATTAAAAGGGTCGCTTGTTCTAGGCGTTATCGCGCCGTTCATATGAACAAAGTTTAAAGAATTCGGAAAAGGGTAAACGCAAAAATTGTAACAGCTGAAGACTATTTTTTAGTATTTTAGCCTTCTCTTTAGATCTCATTAGCCCGCCATGACAGTCTCAATTAATTAAAATTTCTGACTAAGAACTTAATGTTCTTATATTTTTGACGAAGGAATAATTTAATGAGTTTATCTCTTATTAATACATGAAACTGTTTCCTTTCTTCGTTTTAAAGTTATTGGATATTTATGAGATCATCGAAACTTTTGATTTAGCAGAATCACGCATGCCACTTAAGTATGTGCATGGAGTAAATAAATACAAATTCCTCTAATATCAATAATCAAATTGTGAGTAAAGAACAGATCATAGGTACAGAAAATGCTCATAAATGTACACAAGTTATTTGTATGCGAGCTTTACCACAAAAAACATGGCCCAACTGCTCAATTTACGGAATTTATGAATTTATCTCATAATAAAGAAAGGTTTACATTTTACTGGTCAGTATTATAGTCTCTTTTAGTCATCATCCTTTTAAATATGAATTCATATGATCAGTATAGTTTGGAGTTAAATGTCAGCACTTAAATATGAATGCTCACTGTTTAAGTAAATGGAAATTGTCCGTATTTATATCGAATGGCATGGCCTAGAGGTTTAGACCATTGATTAGCATTCGGGAGGACGCCGGTTCTATTCCGGGTCCGTCTGCCTTGGTCCAAGTTTTTCTGTGGTTCCCTTGGATCCCCTAGACAAATGCTGAGGCAGTAATATTCCACAGATAATCTTTCATTCTCTTCTGTCTTTATTTCGTCCGTTTCATCTTTCTCACCTGAATCACCACCCACCCAGTCCTACGATTTCTGAAAGGAGGCTGAAGAGGGCCTGCCGCCCTACCTTCCGGCATAGTCCGGAAGGNCAGAAGACACCCAGCCGTCCGTACGACTGGGTAGTGTCGGATTCCCGAGGAAGAAGTCCTCGGACCTACCGACTAAAACCCCTCTACCTCAGGCCGTTTTAGGACCAACTAGGGTCCTCTTCAGCCGGCTAAAGTTAGAACAACCCATATCCTTAACTATTTGCGAACAGTAATTTAATCTAGGTCTACCTCCACCTCTCCTATTGCACTGATTGGTGACATCCCCCGAGGTAGTCCCCGCCCGGACATCTGAATGGGGGACTAGTTTACGTCCGGAGTGCTTTACCCCTGAGGACGTCATCATTTTATCTCAGTGAGTTTCACTTGGGATACCATAATGTAATGGTTTCCCGTTGCCTTCCACATCGCAGTATTGTGCATCAGAGTGCCATACCGATCCTCGTACTGAAAGAGCTACTACCCCCTTTCAGGGACTTGTCTTAGTCTGGTTTCTCTTTACGACCCCCCCCCCCATTATGGTTGAACATATGATCCGACTTCCTAAATCATTGAAACTCGCAAATCGAATATAATAAAAATATATGAATAAACATATAAAAAACAATTGCAACGAGTTGTTCTACACGATCGTAGGTTCATCTCTATATTAACTGCTATATTAAAAATCAATAAAACATTAAATTTACCTACAGTATATTTTATAATAAGCATAAATAATGCTGTCCGGGCTTGGTGCTTTTTTGTTGTTCCTATGATTGATTAGCTCCGTTACTTCTTGTGGAGTAGTTGTAATTATTGCTTCGGGTGATTGCTCCGCTAATATTTGGTGGACCATGTTGTTGATGTGATCTTCATAGATTATATGTTGTAGTATGTCCTCAATTGAATTAGGTTTAAATTGTTCTTCAATATGGTTTGCTAGGAGCTTAGCCTTTTCAGTGTTGCTGATTGTGATTTTGTCGTGGGCTGTTTTAAGTGGACCTATATTGCTGCTTTTCTTCTTTTGGCAATTGAGTAGAGTGACGTCTAATTGTTCGGCTGCGTTTAGTTTTTCTTCCCATGTTGAGTTATGGAACTCCCTAAGGAGTGCTTTCACTTCGTTGATAAGACGATTTAGTGTGGTTTTGTCTTAAGGGTTATAGGTTTGTAAGTACCTCTTTCTTGCTTTAGACTTTTATTTGATTAATTCGGTGATGGAACTGGGTATAAACGTTCCTTGAATTTCTTTTGTTTTGAAGTGTGAGGATTGTTTCATGGATTCCTGGATGAGGTTTTCGAGCCTTGTTGTTTCTTGTTCCAGTTCTTCTTCATCCTAGTAAGTAGTTTGGAAACCTTGTCCTGAAGATCATTTCTGAATTTTTCCCACTTAGTGGTAGGTACTTATTTGTAGTGTCTTTTTGAGTTTCCAAGCCGATCTGGAGAATGATTCGATTGTGGTCTGAGGTAAGTCCACTGTCTTCTGAAGTGTGGATGCTATGCTGTAGTGGAATGTTTTTTAATACAGCGATATCTAGTACATCTAATGTTTTGTTTGGTACGTGGTGATGTATGGGTTCCGTTGGTGCTATAATTAGCAGTTGTTTTTGATCTGCATATTGTTTGAAGTCTTTTCCTCTGGTTTTTTCTATTCTGGAGTTCAATTCCCGCTTTCTGCTGTTTACATCTCCAATGAGTATTTTGGGATTGCTTCCGCTTATGAGTTCGTTCATTTCGTTCACATGCAGTGGTGGTTGTTGTGGTTTCATTGATGGATAATATATGCTGTAGATATGGGTTAGACTTATATTTTTGATGTCTTTTTGCACTCCGGTTGCTTCAGTGATGTTGACCTTGGATGTGTTTGGAAGTGGAACGTGTTCTATGGAGTTTTGTTGTAGATTGTTGTTGCTCCTCTTTCACTGCATGTGCGGTCGTTCTTTTACAACATGTAATTCAAGATTCGGGGAATGTGAGCTGGTTTGAGAAAGTTTTCACCTATACACATAATATCTATGTTGTTGGATAAGACGAAATTCTTCATTAAGATGATTTTCTCTGGTAGCGATTGTGCGTTCCAGTATACTATTTTGACGCTGGTTGGATTTTTTTTGTTGATCTTCCTCATGGGTTGGCTTGTATTAGTTGTTTAGTTGTGTTTTGTCGCTTGTTCGGGCGTGGGATTTAGCTGCTGTATTGGGTAAACATTTCCCAGATTATTTTAGATAGTTCCTCCTTTTTACTTTTGCTGTGGTCTGTTTTTGTGTTCTGGCTATAGGTTAGAATTTGTCTTTGTTTAGGCGATTCCTCTTGGTCGCATATTGGGGCTGTTTTTTTACGTGTTGGTTCTTCCATTTTTCTTCTCGGATTTTCAGGGCAATTCCTGTAGTTCGCAGGTTGTTCTCCGGCATAGTTGGCATATTTTACTGGAGTTGTCTGTGGTTTGGTGCACAAGTGTGTTGAATGGTTACCAGTGCATTTGAGGAATTTTTATTCGGCTTTACATCCAGCTTGAGAGTGGCCAAATTTCTGGCAGTGGTGACATTGCCCAGATGTCTGTTTCATATATAAGCTGTCTACTGTGACATCTAGGTTGCAGCGTTGCTTGAGATTGTATATAGACTTGTAGATTCTGTCTATTTCCAACCATATCTAGTACATCTGATGTTTTTGAGAATACTTCTGCTTATACACTTATACAAAATAAACAAAACAGACAAAAATGGTCAGCTCACCGACCCCGGTACCTCCATTTCTAGAGTTTAATAGATGAACTGTGTCGTAAAATTTCGGTTCACGTTACTCAAAATTTCGTTTTCAGTTTATTTTTATTACTGGCTTTACCAAAACGAGCGAGATTTGACAATGGCGAAAGGGTGAATATTAAGAGGAAAAAGGAGGAATATGTTGTTAAATTGAGCGAGCTGCGACAATGCTGAACCGCATAACAAATTTGTTTCTTAATTCAAAACCTTCAACCTAAAAAAGTAAATCCGTACCCGGTTTGGCCGTCCCTCCAAAAATGTCGCCCCGGGCAATAGCCCGGGTTGTTAAGACGGCCCTGGTCGTAGACTAAGAAACGTATTCATTTATGCACATTGGCAAACATCAACTCACCTGATGAATAAATCAGCTTTACTACTGTAGGTGTTCCATGGAATTTGCATTACCGTCTTCATTGATGCCACCGGAAGGAATTTTGCTCTTGTTTGCCTTTTGTTAATGAAGTGCAGTCGTATGAAAAATGATGACATAGCTAAATTCTGTAATAAATTATTTCTATTTTCCGTAGTAGGGATGAGCATCATTGTCACTTTAAATCATATAAATAGTAGAGACTGTTTTGCAAAGACATCTCCGAATCGTCTCTTTATTCACACACAACCCAGCCTCAAATCTTTTCCTCCTTACCACCATGATTATGAAAGCAGCAGTGGTAAGTAAAATAATCAATATGTGTGTTTTGCTTGTTTACGTTAGTTTCAGTAGCTTACGTTGCTTGTTCTATACTGCAGATTGTTTTTATTGTTTTCTTTGTCTAAAACCGTCCTTTCGCGTAGCCGAATAGTTACATTAACGAAATTGATTTCTGGCTTGGTTCTTGTTAGTACGTTACGTATCCAGGGAAGAAACAAAGTTTTTTCATACTGCATGTGAATTGCATACAGTCTGAGGTAGCCCTATTTCTTCCAGAGGTACGTATACTACTTTTGGTCATGTTTGTGCGGATAGCTCATTATTAAATTGGTTGTTGGCGAAGTAAGAGTAAATGATTTAGAGGTTAGAAAGTCATTGTCATTGAACAAGTGATTTCTGCGCATCCCCATAAACTTCAGAACATGAGCTCAATGACTAATTTCATTGCCTCCCGATCGAAAAACGGCTGAAAAAAGGTCATCTTCCCTATTTCATAGCACGCAAAACGAGTTTTCCGCGTTAACATGCCAAACACATTGTTTCGGCTGTTATGTCATTATCAAAGTGAAACGGATAATACAAATAAAGTGGTATTTATAGAATAGTGTCGAAACGTAGCACAGTAGCACAAATATACTATATACATACACAAATACAGTTTGTCCTAGTAGCTAACATCAATAACGGGGAAATCGTTTGGTCATTACAGTCTATAAAATAATTATTATTTATATAATGTTCGCTTAAGCCTGTATTTTTTTTTGCAATTTAAAATAGACTTTTTATGTTTGACCCACATAAATAGATGGACGGTTTAAACGTTGCCATTTTTGCCGAGAATATTTTTTATAAATATTCTGTTGTTTACTAATACAACTCTAGATACTTATACAACAGTTACCCCATACCAAAATGCAACGCTATGTTTGACTCTGATAATCTGCATTCGTCTGTAGTTGTGTTAAACCTAACTTCTAAAGTTTTTCAATTTGCATATTTCTTTTAATTAATAAATGAAGCTGTTTCTACATTGCTTAATTAATTCCGCCTTTTTTTTATTAGATTTCAGTATTTTGGTCCTTCACGGTCGCATTAGCTGCAAGTTTTGACAGCGCTTTCATAACCCAAAATTCACCTTCTCTTCCGGCACTACCGATATTCAGAACCGAACAATTCCAAAATCAGGTGCCTATCTTACGTTATAGTAACGATAACAATGAGGGAGGAAACTACAGGTATGCTTACGAAACAGGAAATGGAATTTCTGTTCAAGAAACGGGACAATTCGCCCCATCTGTTCCTGAAGGTGGTGCAGTTGTAGCCAACGGTGGATTTTCTTTTACTGGAACTGATGGACAAACTTACAGTATTTCATACGTTGCTGATGAAAATGGCTTCCGACCAGTTGGGGCACATATTCCAACACCACCTCCAGTTCCAGAAGCCATTGCCCGATCTATAGCAGCAGCCGGTAGAAGTTTATCATATGATGGTCAATATCAACCATATTCCTATGGGCATTACTAGCTTGCTTTTTAACGATTTATACAGATACATGTTATAGGTACTTCCGATTTATAAAATTATTTGTTCAATTGTCAGAATAAAACGTTTTTACATTAAGAAGATGATGTTTATATAATATCCAAATCCTGGCTGAGTATTGTCATCTTATACACTTAATATTTCATATTTCAACTCCGCTAACTGAATCGACGACGTAACTTACATGTATGTAAAATATCCCTACATATATACATACTATAGGGGTATTTATATTAATTACAAAGAATATTCAAATGATGACATTTATATGATTTATTTTATCGATGCTGTGTTTTCTTCCGGGCTTTTTGGCCGTGGTCCGTGGAATCTTGCTTTTCCAGACGTTTCGCCGTTCTTTGTTGACGGCATCTTCAGTGGTGACTGGGCAGTCGTAACTGATGCAGCAAGATTTCACGGACCACGGCCGAAAAGCCCGGAAGAAAACACAGCATCGATAGACGCCGGCCGTGAAAGCCTAAGAACTACAGATTTATTTTATGTTGAACAAAACTCAACCTGAAAAAAAATGAATCTAAGATAACAAATGTATAACTAAGTAAATTACTTACGATGGCTTGAACCTATCTCATCAACTAATCCTAAACAATAAAAATGAAAGCACTAAATTACGTATGTATCAATGGACTGATATGTCTGAGATGACACACCTGTAAAATAAACAAACAGAAATATATGAGCTACTAATTAAACCACCAATAAATAAATTAAACGAAATGAATAATGAATTATTCCATTTCTGCAAAACCAAACATTCTGTCGCGATTTACTTAAATATGGTGTATTTCCGAGGACC